CTTCCTTCCGAGGAGTGGCTGGTGGGTTTGAACCGCCAGCCATCTGGTTAGCAGGCAAGTGTCTTAGCCACTATGCTACCAGAGCTCCTTTATATTGAGATGTAATCCATACTGCAGACTGTATTCTTCAAGCTTCATCAGTAAGTGCCTTAAGTCATCCTCACTTTCAGCAAGCAAAGTTGTATCATCTACACATCTCAGATTATTAATGATTCTTCCTCCAATCCTGATGCCACATTTTTCTTCATATAGTCCAGCTTCTCCAATTATTTGCTCAGCATATAGATTGAATAAGTGTGGAGAGGGGATAAAACCCTGACACACTCCCTTCTTGATTTTAAACCATGTAGTGTCCCCTTGTTCTGTTCAAACGACAGCCTCCTTGTCAAGGTACAGGTTCCTCATGAGTACAATCAAGTGTTCAGGAATTCCTGTTTTTCTCAGTGTTATCCATAATTTGTCATGATCCACACAAACAAATGCCTTTGCACAGTCAATAAAGCACAAGTAAATATCTGTCTGGTATTCTTTGCCTTGAGCCAAGATCCATCTGACAACAGCTCTGATATCCCTTGTTCCACGTCCTCTTCTGGATCCAGCTTGTACCTCTGGAAGTTCTCTGTCAATATATTGCTGCAACCGTTTTAAAATTATCTCCAGTAAGATCTTACTTGCATGTGATATTACTGATATTGTTCTATAATTTCCACAATCTGTAGGATCACCTTTCTTTGGAATGGGCACAAATATGGATCTCTTCCAGTCACTTGGCCAGGTAGCTGTCTTCCAAATCTCTTGGCATAACCGAGTGAGTGCCTCCAATGGGACATCCGTTTGTTGAAATATCTCAATGGGTATTCCGTCAATTCCCGGAGCCTTGTTCTTTGCCAATTCTTTCATTTCAGCTTTGACTTCCTCCTTCAGTGCCATTGGTTCTAGATCATATGCCACTTCCTGAAAAGGATGAAGATCGACCAGTTCTTTTTGGTACAGTGATTCTGTGTATTCCTGGATCTTCTCTTGATGTTTCCTGCATCATTCAATACTTTGCCTACAGAATCTCTCAATATTGAACTCGAGGCTTCAATTTTTTCCTCAGTTCTTTCAGCTTGAGAAATGCTGAGCACGTTCTTCCCTTTTGGTTTTCAAACTCCTGGTCTTTGCACATTTCATTATAGTAACTGGATTTGTCTACTCGAGCTGCTCTTTGAAATCTTCTGTTCAGCTCTTTTACCTTGTCATTTCTTCCATTGGCTTTAGCTACTCTCCGCTCAAGGGCAAGTTTCAGAGTCTCTTCTGTCATCCATTTTGGTCTTTTCTTCTTTTCTCGTCTTTTTAGTGATTGCTTGCTTTCTTCATGGATAATGTGCTTGATAACCTCCCACAATTCTTCTGGTTTTCGGTCGTTGGTGTTCAATGCATCAAATCTATTCTTCAGGTGATCTCTAAATTCAGGAGGGATATATTCAAGATCATATTTTGGCTTTCTTGGACTTGTTTTAATTGTCTTTAACTTCAAGTTGAACTTGCATATGAGCAGTTGATGGTCTGTTCTGCAATCAGCTCCTGGCCTGGTTTTGGCTGAAGATATTGAGCTTTTCCACTGCCTCTTGCCACAGATGTAGTCAATCTGATTCCTGTGTGTTCCATCTGGTGAATTCCACATGTAGAGCCGCCGTTTGTGTTGTTGAAAAGAGGTGTTTGCAATGAACAAGTCATTGGTCTAGCAAAATTCTACCATGTGAGTTCCAGCATTATTTCTGTCACCAAGGCCAAATTTTCCAAGTACTGGTGACTCTTCTTTGTTTCAAACTTTTGCATTCCAGTCACCAGTGATAATTAACACATCCTGATTGCAAGTTTGGTCAATTTCAGATGGCAGAAGTTGATAAAAACCTTCAATTTCCTCATCTTTGGCTTTGGTGGTTGGGGCATAAATTTGAATAATAGTCATATTAATGGGTCTTTCTTGTAGGCATATGGATATTATCCTGTCACTGACAGCATTGTACTTCAGGACAGATCTTGAAACATCCTTTGTGATGATGAATGCCATATCATTCCTCTTCAAACTGTCATTCCCGGCATAGTAGATCACATGGCTGTCTGATTCAAAATGGCCAAAACCAGTCCATTTCAGCTCACTAATGCAGGGATATCAATCTTTATGTATTCCATTTCATTTTTGACAGCTTCCAATTTTTCTAGATTCATACTTTGTACATTCCATGTTCCAATGATTATTGGATGTCTGCAGCTGTTTCTCCTCAATTTGAGTGGTGCCACATCAGCTAATGGAGGTCTCGAAAGTTTTACCTTATCCATAGGAGTAAGGGTGGGTTTACTCAGATGATGCAGCTCTTTCTCAGCCTTCTAACTTAACAGGACTATTCATAAAGTTATGCGGTAATGTATGAAACAGTGTTTCTTTGCTATTCATAAGGTTTTCCCCGGCCAATTCTTTGAGAAGTGGACAGCCTCTTTCTTCTTCCTAGTCAGTCTCAGTCTGTAAGCTGGACTGATACCTGTGCACCATGTGCACCCCATTGGGTTAGAAACACCAGTGGCTCAGCCTCAAAACTCACATGAACATATCACCACGGTAGGACAAACTGACAGACAAGTTTATCTCCCTGTTGGAAACCTCTCCTACCACCCTTACCTGGGTCCCTGCAGCTGACTCCTCCTCTGTCCGGATTCCTGGGCCTTTTAATTCCCTTTCTCCCGCTCTCATGCCTTGCTGCTTTGGGTGTGCCTGAGTTCCCTCTCCTCACCTGGATCTCTCTGGCTGACTGCTCCTCTGTCCTGGTTCCTGGTCCTTTTAATCCCCTTTCTCTTGCTCTCCTGCCCTGCTTCTTTGGGCATGCCTGAGTTCCCTCTCCTCACCTGGATCCCTGTGGCTGACTGCTCCTCTGTCCGGGTTCCTGGCTTTTAATCCCCTTTCTCCCACTCTACCGTCCTGCTGCTTTAGGT